TGTCGCCGGGCCCTGTCGCTCTTCGCATCACGACAACCCCAAAAATGGGCACAACGCAACGCAACCGCACCCCGAAGAATCCAGGATGATTCCAGACAGCCCGGGCCAGCTTGTGAACTGGGGCCCGCCGTGCAAGAGCAAGCGGGGTCGACCATCCAAGGGGGGCTGAGCGAGAAAGCGAGGTCGAGGGCGAGGGAGCGACGAGCCGCGTGGAAGTAGAAAACAACATGCGCAATTCTGCGCATCGAAGGGGTGCCGCTCCAAGCGCAACCCGTAACTCAGTCTACCCACGCTCCCGCTGGAGTCGGCCCAGGGCTGAGGAAACGCCGGCACTTTCCGCGCGCCAAACGGAGCACTCGGACGCAGCCGCGCGGCGCACCACGGACGCAATGCGCTTGCGCACGATGCTCACTCCAGGTCGCCCGACATAGCCGCAGTCGATGCCCAGGTTCCCGCCTCTGACCGCCCTTCGCATCCTCATACCTCGCGGCCGCAAGCAGACTAATTCAAATTCGTGAGCGCCACTTGCATGTCCTCGTTTACTTTGGGGCCATCCGAAATGAGGCCGCAGCGAACCCGTCGGCGCGCAGACCCCACGTGGGCGGCGCCAACTGCGGACAGGCCGACGTCCGCGAGCTGGGCGTCGCCCGCCGCGCTGCCGAGATCAACCTCGCCTGGAAAATGGATGCGGTCGAGCCTTGGGGGCCGGAGCGCCCTCGCGCGCAAATCAGCGAAGCAGCAGCCTGCCACGAGACCCCGCGACAGGAGGCACACGTCGAGGGCGATGCCGTCGACGGAGCTGAAGCCAGGCCTGGCGCGGAACTGCACCAGGAGCCGCATGGGCGCAGAATTGAACTGGCATGGACGGCGTGTGGAACAAGGAAGGTCCCACCAGTTAGCCCATCTGGAGAGATCCATGAATGCCCGGCGCCCCGCCTGCTGCCGGGCGTCGCCAGCAGTGCGCTTGCTGCCTGGATGCAGACGCAAGTCCCGCGGCGGCCCCCCCCCGTGCCAAATGTGACAGGCCGCCGGACGTCGCCGGCCTCGCCTGGCCCCCAGTGTTCCGCGCCGCACCCAGCGAGCGCAAGGCCTGATGATGCGAGGGCACTGCCCAATAGTGCAACGGCCCAGCTCAGCCTTCGGAATGAAGACCACCTGCAAAAGCGAGATCCCCAGGAACGCAAGCGAAACGAAGCACAGGGCCCCACGGAGCAAACAGGGCGGACAAGGCGCCATCTG